GGCTTTGTGGGAAAGGGTGACCCTTTTTCTTCTCTGTGGTGGCTTCGTATCCCCGTTTCGAGTCTTCCTGAGTCTGTCTGGTCTCTGCTGTGGCCCTGCCCATGCCGGGGTCTTTCCCCCCTCTACCCTAGCACCTGGAGCTGCTGCTGGGGCAGCTGCAGGAGGCAGTGGAGAAGCACTCGGGCCGCGAGGTGCTGGAGGCTGCGTCGCGGGCGCTGCACGTGCTGTGTGACCCCGAGCTCCCCTTCCATGGCCGTGTTGACTATGCCCGCAGCCGCCTTGTAGACCAGCTCACTGACAAGTTCCAGCAGGAGCTGCCCGAGCTACTCCAGGTACTGCCTGCCCCATGGTGCTGCCACTCCCTGGGGAGCAGGGGCAGGGCTGCCAGCTGTACGTGCTGGAGCTCTGGGCCCACCTGCTCAGCACTATCTCCCATTTTCCCACCCCCCAGGCCTCCTTCCTCGATGAGGACGAGGTGTACAGCATGGCTGCCACCCTCAAGCGCATCTCCATCTTCCACAAGTGAGTGCTTGGTGCCTGGCCCATCCCCAGTCCCTGCCATGGCTCCCTTTCTGCTGAGTCCTGACCCATCTCCGCTCCTGTCCCCTTTCCCTGGGTCCCTAGCGGGCGTGGGGCAGGGAGAGGGCAGCAGAGCCCCCACAAAGCCTCTCTGCTCTCACTTTGGCCCCCACAGTGCCCATGACCTGACACCCTGGAAGCTGTTTGAGCCCTGCCACCAGATCGTGCAGCGAGCTGTGGATACTGGCGAGATCCCCACGCAGGTACCAGCTCTCCCTGGGATGGGGTCCAGGAGCAGGGGCTGCCGGACAACCCTCCCCTCATCCTGGGCTCCCCTTGCAGGTGCTCATCCCAGCCATGACCTGCCTGCACTTCTACGTGCTCTGGGAGCTGGCTCACATCTCTGCTGGTGCCTTCATGCAGGTGAGGGACTGCGGGCAGCAGTTTGGTGGGGGGTCATGGTGAGCTAGGGCCCTGGGGTGGCTCCCAGCCTGACTCATGCCCTTCCCACCCGCCCTGTCCTGCAGGAGCATGTGCTGGAGCTGAAGCGCAAGGTGGACGCCCTCTGCTCCCTCTGCCAGAGCTGCCTGACAGACCTTGACCCCAGTGTCCAGGAGCAGGTGGGGGCTGGGGGCTTCCTGCTGGGTGGGCGATGGGGGCAGCTCTGTCCGAGCGCCCCCATCACTCTCTCTCCACCCAGGCCTATGTGTTGCTGAGTGACCACCTGCTGATGTTCGGGCCCCAGCTGGCGCAGAGAGGGCGGGAGGCACTGAGCAGCCTGGTACTGCGGCCTGATGCCGGCCTGCAGGCCCAGCTGGCTGGCTTCCTCATGGATCATGTCTTCAACCACGCTGAGCCCATGGATGCTGGTAGGGCCTCGCCACAGGGTGGGGTGTGTTTATACTGGGGGCACCCGCCTGACCCTCTGCCCCACTCAGATCAGGACGACAGTGAGGGGAGAATTGAAGCACTGCATCAGCGGCGCCGGCTGTTGGCGGGCTTCTGCAAGCTGGTTGTCTACAACGTGGTGGAGCTGAGTGCTGCCTCTGACGTCTTCAAGCACTATGTCAAGGTGAGGTGGTGGGGAGAGCCTGGGGCCCCTCAAGACCCTGTCATCATCATGGGAGGGAGGGGACCAGGCCCTGGGTCGTGTGGGGCGGGGAGGCGGGCTGGGGGCTGAACCCCCGCTCACTGCTCTCTTCGTGCAGTGCTATGATGACTACGGGGACATCATCAAGGAGACACTGAACCAGGCCCGGCAGATTGACCGGGCCGAGTGGGGCCGTACCCTGCTCCTCAGCCTCAAGCAGGTGCCTGGGGTGAGCAGGGGCTGGGTGCTGGGACTTGGGAGGAGCCCTGTTCCTGACCCGACGTCCCCCTTGTAGCTGCTGACAGAGCTGCTGCTGCAGCATGGCCGCGGTGCCCGCCTGAGTAAGTCCTTTGCGGAGATCCGGGACCTGGCACGGCGCTTTGCCCTGCTCTTTGGTCCGCACCAAGCACGGAACCGCCCTGTGCTTGTGGCGCTGCACAGGTGAGACTGGGGTGAGGGTCCGTGCAACATGCTGCTACACAGCTCAGGGGGGCTAAGCCTCCCCCAGAGGTGCTTGATGCTGATTGTTGCCCGGTCTGGGGACTGGGCTGTGCCAATGCTCCTGCTGGGCCCAAGCCTGCAGGTTCCTGGCTAGAGGATGTTGGCCCTGTGCTCAGGCTCAGCCCAACACTGCACTGGGGGCAGGGAAGAATTTTCCCCTCTGATCAGACTGGAGGCATCCCTTCTTCCTGCAGCAGGGGGCATGGCCTCAGGCTGGGGGCTTTGGACCATCTATGAGCCCTTCTGGCACCAGCAGGATGCGGCGGCCACAGCCCCTTTTGCTTTCCCTGGGGCAGGGGCGATGCCTGGGGCTGCATCAGGGGAGACTGTGTCTCATGTTGCTTAGAGGTTGGACATGGATTTGTCTAGGCTGGTTTGGACAGGCCTGATCCTGCCTCAGGCAGAGCTTGGACTAGAGGTGACCCTGCAGCTTCCTGCCTGCCCTGTGCTCAGGGATTAGCTGAACCCAAGGGGACAGGGGCCTGGGTCAGCAAGGCCTGTCTTCACCCTGCCTGCCCACCCCCCATGCAGGGAGGGGATCAAGTTTGCCTTGCAGTCACCCAGCTCCGAGCTGCTGGCTCCCCTGCAGCTGCCCTTCCTGGAGGTGCTCAGTGAGTTCTCACCCCGCCTGCTGCGCCCTGACAAGAAGCTGATGTGAGTCCCTAAGAGCAGGGGGACATCCTTGAGCGGGTGGAGGGGTGCAGGGATCCACTGCTGTGGACACTGATCCCACCATCCTGCCTGTTGCAGCCTGGCCTACCTGGAGCAGAGCTGCCAGGCCGTGTTGTCCCCAGAGCAGCAGCAGGAGGTCTGGACCCCGCTGCTGACTTACCGCAACTCCCTGCGGCTCCACAACCCTGCCCGCTCCCAGGCCCAGCGCAGACCTGGCTCCGCCACCAAGAGGCGGCATGCAGATGGTGAGATAGGGCCAGGTCCAGCACAGCTGCCTGCGGGGAGGGCGACCCCATATGCTCTGCTGTCCATAGCGTGGCAAGGTGGGCTGACGTGTCCCAGCCCCAAGCAGCGCATCCCTTGCAGAGTCATCTGGGCACAGTGATTCCAGCCTGCAGCTCAGCAGCCGCCTGGCAACGCCAACGCTCACATCCACTGTGGTGAAGGGGGCCCGTGGGATGTCCCAGCCCCTTCCTGAGGACAAGGGCTCTGAGTCAGACTTTGTGGAGAGGTGAGGCCTGCTACATGGGTCAGGCAGGTTACCACAGGTGCTGGGTGTTGGTAGCAGCCCAGGCTGGGGATGAGTGAACCCCATGGCTCTAGGACTCTAATGCAACAGTGGACAGGACTGCCTACCCTACCTCCCCTGCCCGCCCCGACCCACTGCCCTTGTGCCTTTGCAGCCAGCACTCGAAGAGCTCCCACCTGGCCCACAGATCTGCCAGCCGGCAGCAGCGTATAACCCCCCAGAGGCTCCTGGGCTTTGGTCTGGGCAGCAACCTGGACCGGTGAGTGTGCATGGTGGGGGGTAGTAAACATCAGCCAGAGGGTTGCACTCCCTGACTTGGCTCTGTCCTGTAGGCACAGCCTGATGGAGGAGGAGGAGGAGGAGGAGGAGGAGGAGGTGGTGGTGATCCAGGAGCAGAGCAGTGAAGAAGAGGACTCCTCCCAGGGCTTGGTCACGGTGAGGAGGGGGTGGGGGCAGGGCTGTTTGCCCAGGTGCAGTCAGCTGACAGCTGGGTGGGGGGTTGGACCCCCCCCAGCCCCATGGGCTGACCTGGCTGTGCTTGCCTCCCTGCAGCGCTCCCGCAGCAATCGTCTCCGTGACCTCTTCGATTCCTCCATCCTTGGCCTGGAGGTGAGTGCAGGGCCAGGGTGGGTGGGTGGGGGCCTGGGACCTTGGACCAGGGTATCATAGGGGCTCTCCCTCCCCACAGGAACTCTGAGGCGGCTGGACCGCTGGCCTGCCCCATCCCCCTGCACCCCCGCAGACAGCACATGGTCATGGTTGAGTTCAAGGTTTATTGGAGTTTTCCTGGCAGCCCCGTTGGCGCTGGTTGGGCCTGGTGCAGTAAATAAAGCTGGCGTTGGTGAGCAGTGGTGTTGGCGGGTCAGAGGCGCAGCACATAGGCATCGCTGTGCGTGACGTAGCGCACCCAGCGGTGGGGCAGGCCAGGCTGCATGCCTGTGCAACGCAGGAACCGCACGCGCAGCCCCGAGCACGTGTGCATGGGCAGCTCGAAGGCCATGTGCACCGGGCCCAGCTCTAGCAGCGACGCACCGCTCAGCCCCGGCACCTCCAGCTGTAGGGAGGGAGAGTGGCCATCAGCCCCTGGGCCTGAACCTTGCTTTGGGGAGAGTTCCCCATCCCCGCCCCCCGGCGCCTTTACCTTGAAGAGGGCAGAGAGCTGGGAGCCACCTTGGAAGCGTGGGATGTTCCAGCGCAGGCACTTGGAGCCTAGCTGCAGCTCTGCTGTCTGCTCTGGGCTGCTCAGCTCCTGTGACAGGCTGGGGTGGAGGGGCAGGTGAGGTGGCAGGAGATGCACCCCACCCCCACACCTGCTCCTCCATCCCCCACCCCCTACCTGACATCCCCCTTGGGCACAGGCAGCTGCACACGAACGTTCAGGGCTTGGCTGTGAGAAAGAAGGGGCAGTGGCAGGAATGGCGGGGGCAGGGGGGGAGCCGGCCCCCCACCCCCCTCCCCTGTAATGCCGGTGGCAGCAGGGACTCAGCCCCCATCCCCGCTTCCCTTTCCTCTGTCCTGCCTCCTTACCTCTTGGGGGACAGGTCACAGCGCAGCTTGAGGTAAACACGGAGCCTGGCAGAGACAGGGCTGTGAACGCCTGGCACCGGCCATCTTCCCCCTGTGCCCCGGCCCCCCAGCGCCTCGTGCTCACCTGCCTGTGGGGTCCCGGTCCACAGTGGGGAAGAGGTGGAAGGGCAGGGCCGAGGGAAGGTCATCCGAGAGCTGATACTGCATCAGTGTGAGCTAGGGGCAGGCAGGGCAGTCAGGGTTGGGGTCAAGGCCAACACTGCTCTCCCCTAAGCTTAGCACTCACCTCCCCCGGGCTGGGGGTGACCTTGAGCACACGGTTGCTCTCGAACTCATCCAGCCGCACAGAGCTGTGGAAGGCGCATTCGTCCACCCGCACAGCCGTGCCGTAGCCTGGGGGAGGCCAGGGGATCAGTGGGGGCTGGGAGGGGCAGGCAGCAGTACCGCCCCCACACGTCCTCACCTCGCAGCTCCGACTTGCCCACGCAGAACTCCTCCGTCAGGCCAATGCGCATCTCTGTGGGGAGGGACAGGTAAGCCCAGAGGCCCTGGCCTGGCCCAGACCCCACCGGTGTCCCACTCACCAGGGCAGCTGGGCAGGTAGCTCTTGATGCGAATCTCTCCCTGGATGTCAGCTTTCATAGGGGTGCCCTGGGGAGGTAGACATGGGCTGCAGTGCTGGGGGCAGGGTCAGCTGTGGAGCTGGCTACAGGGGTCTAGCCTCCTACTGGCTTTGCTATGGGCCTGGGGGATCTGACTGGACCTTTTCCCCCTTGAGTTGCTGGAAGGGTCCAGGATTTCCCCCTTCTCCAGCAGCTGGGCCAGTGCTGGGGCCTGTCTGAAAGGCTGTGCCCCTCGGGTAGGGTCAGCTTAGTGCTGTGTTGGGACAGGACGAACCCCCGTTGTCAGACTTGGGGGGTCCCCTCTCCATGCGATGGGGTCTGGCCTCTGTCTGCAATCACTCTAATGTATTCTCCCCTGTGTACAGCTGTGGCTTGGTCTCGCTGGGCTGGGCAAGATGGGATCCCGGGACTCCTGTTTCCCTGAGCAGGGCTGCCTGGCACAGGGTGGGCGGTGCTCACATTGGTAGCGATGACAACTGTCAGCCTCTCCACCACATCCAGGAAGACCTCGTTCCGTGCACCCTGTGGGGCAGGTGGGCAGGGGTGAGGGCCTGGCGCTAGCACCCCTCAGCACTGAGGAGGGGATGTGGGTGTAAGGCTGCCTCTCACCTGTTCCCCGCGGGGTGGTAGCACAGGGCGGCTGGCAGCTGAGCTGGGAGCCACTTTGCTCTGCTGCGTCTCTGCTCCGAACTGTGAACAGACCCTGTCAGGCTCTCTGGGCTACGGGACCTTTACCCACGGTGCTGGCCTGGCCCCGAGGGCTGCAGCCTGCCCCAGGGCGGTGCTCACCAGGCCGATGCTGCCCAGGTCCAACAGGCTAAAGGGCTTGCTGACCACTGGCTCACTCTGGATGAGGTTGCGCAGCATGTCAGGCGCTGTGGTCTGGATGTAGCCGTAGTCCTGGGGGGTGGTGCTGAGTGAGGGGGCTGCCCCCGGGTGCTGCACACTTTTAGGGGGCAGTGCTGCTGGCCAAGCCCCTCCCCTGCTCGCCCTTGCAGACCTACCACCATCTCTTCCAGCAGCTCATAGACGAGGGCAAAGTTGAGGCTGATGCTCTTCTCGCTCAGGGGCCCGCAGTAGTCCTGGATCAGGGCTGCCAGCCTGCAAGGGGGGG